CCTAACGATCTCGACAGGGTCTGAGTATGTGTAAAACACTGGACTCGGTGGGGCGACGGGTTCAACTACAGAGTCTTGTCAAGGTCCCTCAATTCTACCCAATTACCTTCACCAACACCACCCGGAGGAAGAGTGGGTCCTCTCTTACCATTGCACACGTTACCCTTCCCTTAAGGTGTACCACAGACCCCAACGCCAGGCTCGGCTGCGCAGCCTTTCGATGATACCTATCTGGGAGGAGACAGTGTGATTCACGAGGAAAGACCCGAGCATTTACCTCAGGCTACTGCGGGACTCCATGAACACTATTGGTCCCCTCGAATACGGTGGGTGTACCTCCTCACGCTGGCTGTCCATCCCAGGCCTCAGGTGGGGGGCTGTTGACATCGTAGTCACTACTCCTCATCATTTCGTAGCCGACTTGGATCGATGTGCTGAGACTGGTGGCTCGGTTAACCAGCTCCATCCAGCTGCGGTCATCTTTGACGAGGCCGACATGATATTCCACGAGATGAGGTCATTGATGGTGATGGAGGCTGATGCCCTTTAGATTCGTGCAGGTCTCAAGTATACGACATAGTGCACCATCTTCGCCCGAGGCTGGAGATACCACAGCCTGGGCAGGCATCGACAGTGAAGAAGCGGAAGAAGCTTCTACCCTGTCAGTTCGTATTCGCTAGCGCCTCGATGCCTACAGGAGGGCCCAACAGGTCGGGTTGCCGCTAATGCTAGAGCCGAGATATGTCTCGATTCCTTCAGTGTGGCGGCTATGGTTAGTCAGCGATTTTGTACTGCCGAGTTGATCACCACAGCATTTGCTCACTCAATTCCCCCTACCATGAGAGTTGAATGGTTCAAAGCCTCACCTGTGTGGGATCAGCGATGTGCAGAGCTCGCTGAGATACTCAAGGTCCGACTCGTACCGTCTCTGCCTCCATCGACTTCATCAGGCATACTTCCCAGCGTCTCAGCCGGCTAGAGTTCTCGTATTCGTAAATTCCTCTCTCAACTGTAACGCGCTGTATCACTACCTTCGGGTGAGCTAATCGTGGGACCTAGGGAGTAGGAGGGGCTCTTGTGTAGGACCTGGGATGGCCAGTAGTGCGGTTCAGTGCTAGTCGTGGGGCTAAGTTGATGTTGCGTCTGGCGAGAGATGCTGACCAGTTCTGCTCGGCCTCCGCCTACCACGACCCTTCATCGATCAAGTGGGATGGTAAGGTAGATAAGGAGAAGGAGCTCACTCCAGTAGAGGCAGACGCCTTGGCTAAGAAGAGGAAGCACTATGGTGGTAGGAATAGGCGATCGGTTCAGTTGAGACTATCCTCATCTCTCGGTCGTAGCTTTGATGCAGTCGCCACTACGTGTGATGGTCTGCACTGATCACGCGGCGAGAGGCTTCGACTGGCCTCAAGTGGATGCTGTCATTCATTTCCAAATGCCTCTTGATGCGGTGGGTCATCGGCAGCTAGGGAGCGCAAACGCACTACACTTGGCAGGTAAGTTCCTGCATAGGAGTGGGAGAGGAGGTCGGTTGGGACGACCTTGTCGGATAATCACCCTCGTCGGGGAGAAGGAC